AACAATTTAAACAAGACTTAAGACAAGGGATTAGCAACTTTGCTAATCCCCGGCAACGGCGCCAAAATTTGATGTGAAAAATAAGTTAACACACAAAATTAAACCCTCTTTTTATCAAATGTAGTAAAGTATGTAAGTATGGTATCGTTCTAGGCCGGGGATTAGGAGAGATTGCTAATCTATTCTAAATTAATTTAAAAATATTAAATAAGACTCAAGGACACAAAACTAGGCTAAAAACTCTAATAACTCAAACACACTTAGGATAACTCAAAATAATGAAAACAATCAAATTAGACACTAGGAACTGCAATGGACGGAAATTGAATTAAAAGACTAACAACAAAGAAAACTAACTACATAAAATAATTTAATAATGGGGGGTTTGGTTTTGACGAGAAGTAAATTTAAACTTAAATAAATTACAGAATTGACAAAAACATGAAATTAAGGTGAAAGGATAGGTGATGGATTAGTTAGAGGGTTCTTCTCTACACATGACACATATGCAACCTAAATTGATTTCCAGTTGTTCTTTCAATAAGTTGTGAATCTCAACACTTCAGATTAACCGTGAACAGCACTTTTTTAATCTTCAAGTTTTCCTTAAGTTATTGAATTGGACGGGAAAACGCATACAACAATTCAAAACATTCTTCAAAAGTCCTCTACGTGAAAAGCACAATAAAGATACAATCAAAGATCATTAGACTTTGTGAAAACTATAAGCATTGACGAGGCATTCGTAACTATGAAAAGCATGATACTCTTGCCAAGAATTCACTTAACACGATTGTGGATAACAACCTTCACTACTTGTGAATATAAGTTCATAACGATTAGGTGAAATTCACTTATATTCTAGCATCAAATTCATGCATGTAAATTAAGTATGCATCCTTAATCGACATACAAAAATAAGTTATCAATCAAGCAGTTAAGCAAATTAAATCACAACTCAGAAATCACAACTGAAGGTAATCAATTCATATTACAAATATATTCATGGTTTCGAATTAACCTCTAGCCAAAATAAATTTAGTTACACATTATTTTCAAATTAAACCAGAAATTAAAATATAAGTTTGGAAAGATTTAACCGAGATAGGAGAGTGTTTCAGTTCTCTGTGCCCTACTTGTTTCTGCTTCTGTGCCTTGCTTGTTTCTGATTAAAGCTGCCCAAGGCAGCTTTGCTGCTTTCTTCACTGGCGCACTGCCTGCTGTCCTCTCTCACGTCTCGGTTTTCTGCTGGTCTCTCTGCCTATATCACGCTGCCAAGGGCCTGCTGCGCAAGGGCTTCTCTCTCTAGCTGCCAGGCAGCTTCCTGCTTCTCTTCGTTCAAAACCCCATCGGTTTCTCCTCTCTATTTTTTATTATTCTGTTTTCTCCTGTTTTCTCCTTTCCCGTGTCTATCCCTCTGTCCCTCCAGGCGCTGCCTTTTCTTTGCACCAATCCCTCCCTTTTTCTGCTCGCTGCGCAGGCAGCATTTATTCCCCCCCTCTCTTTTCTGATCTGCCAGTCTCTCTCCCCTTCTTTGGATTCTTTTTCCGTCCCCAGTGTGGACTCCTCCATTTCCTCTGCTTTGCCAGTTGATGTCCCCTAATTCTTCTGACTTCCTTGGATCCCTTTGTCGCTGACCTGCTTTCCTCCAGCTGCAAAGGCAGCTTGCTTTCCTCTATATTCTCCTCCCGATGCTCTCCTTTTATTTTCATTTAGTTTCTAGCAGCCCCACATAGCAGAAAAATAAGTTCTTTGGATCATGTTACTCCTACAAACACAATATATCAAAAGTATCATAAATACTTAAAGCTTCCAAATAAATTAGACAAGAAAAGAAATATAAAATGATGAAATATATAGTTTAAATATTGGTTTATCATTTAGCGTCACAATGGGTTAGCAATATTGTAATTTAAATTTGCTTTTCACGAATAAAATTTCACTTGTTCTATTTTTATTTTCTTTGCATAACAAATCCTATAAACACAAAAATAACGTAAATAGCTCAAAAATATAAGGAACTAACTAAGAAAAGACGAGTGAATTTGAAGTAAAAATATATATAAATATGATCCGATCACAACTCGGCGAACGCAGGAACTCCGGCGAGGTTCTTGAATTTCTCCGATTAGGTAAGTTTCGGGTTTGTCTCTTTCTGTTCTAGATTGAAGCTTATATGTGAAATTTAAGTTCAAAATCGTGTTTTTGCGAGGTTTTTGGGACGAAATCGGCTCGGAAATAGGCACACCCATCTCCGGCGAGGCCGTGGGTGTCGACGAACTTTCCGAACACCTCCGACCGTTTCACGACAAACGGAATTTATAAAAACATTCATCTCGTCTTCTATTTCATTTTGATACCTAGATCGATGTCGAAGGTGCTCTTTTATAGTTGGCCGGAGTTGTAGAAGCTCCGGCGTTCTTCCCCGGTTCTTCTCCGAGTAGCATAGTTCCAAAATATCGTGATAGTTTCGGAAATATCACATATTATGGATATTATCGATAATATCGCGATATTTTGACGAAAATCCGTTGAATACCTATTAAAATATCGGTACCGTATCGCCGATATTATCGGCATTTTGTTCCTTGGTTCCATGTAACAAAAAAATAATTTTAAAAAATTTAGTAATTTAACAATGCCAAAAAGAAATCTATTAAAAATATAATTACATTAGTTAATTCAAAATAATATGCGACAACGAAAAAGATTAAAGAGCCATCTTCATCTTCCCCCTCCGGTCCCCCAACCCCACCACCACTTCCTCTCCCACCTAGATGCAATCTCAAAGCCAAAAATAACCCATCGTTGCAACAACCTGCCACCTGCAAGTCAATCTGAAGAACCATCGCACTCTGCCATAGCAATCGAGGTTAGGTGTGAGATTAGACCAAACCCGCCCTCCTCTTCCGGACTTGCCCACTCCTTCATCCCATTTCCCCATTTCTCATTCGCTTCCCCTCTCTTTTGATATATTCCCAAAGAGAACACCAAGCTTTTAGTTTCCAAAAATAAAATAAAATGCAGGCTCTTCTTCCACTCTTACCCAACCGTCTCAAAAACCCCGCACTCCATCCACTTTCCCAACCACACCCCGTCGTCACCCAGCAATCTCACCTTCTTTGATTGGCACAACTCCTGCTCCATCTTTGACAAACGGGGGAGGCGGGTCTAGCGCTAGGTGAAAGAACCTGTCTTAGCCGCAAGCCCAATTCAATTTAGAGAGTTGCAGGTCGCCGGTCGATTTTGCATAACCTGTCTCAACCAATTAGAATTTCGGCGATTCAAGTACTTGATTCAGACCGGGTGCAAGAACTTGTCAGGATCGATTGCATTTTAGTTGTGTGGGGAGTCGCTGCTCTTGTTGGAGTTCTAGTTGGTGGAGTTAGAATGGTGGATTGGGTACCCTGCGACTGCGATTTGAATTGGAAAATCAGGGGTTGTGGGTCGCAATTTGGAGCCACATATTGGCGTGGGGAAATTAGGGCTTATAAAATTTCATTATTTTTCATTATTTTTAATTTTGTTAATTTATTTTAAACTTATTAACATTTAATTAATTTTTCACTTGTTTGATGAGGAAGTGGCCCTCAGCTTGCCACTTCGTCATTTAACATTAAATTAACAGTAAACTTAACGAAGGTCTAACATTGTAACTAACTTGTAAAATGAGATATGATATTGCAATATTTAAAACATAAGGTATAAGATTGTGATATAACTCATAGTTGAGGTGGTTTTCTATTACCCTATAAAATATTATTTAATTTAATACCTAATTAGGTATTGAAGTGTAATTAGTTATTCGGTTTTACTTTTACAATGTCTAAAGTCTTCTCAAGCATCGCATTCTCAAGTTCAAAGGCCTCATAAACCTTCAAAGAGTAAGTGCTTAAAAGAAAGGAATTGAGAAAAAGTTGAACGATTCAAAGTAGTGACTTGAAACACCAAAACTTTTTTGGTAAATTGCATGAACAATTTCATTTTTTTGGGGTCGTACTAATGTCATAAGATATTTTGACGTTAAACATTATTTTTATAGTATGATAAACTTAACTTTTTCAATTGGGTTGTATGCTTGTACTAAAGTAATGTTATAAGGTATCTTTTTATTTTATTTTATTTTTTTTTAAGAATCTAGTGTCTTTGGATTTTTGACCTGACTAACCACTAGGCTCCCTCGCCTGATGCCACAACATTTGGGAAGCAAGAAACTCTAGTAATTGCTAGGTGGGTACCTTGGGAGGTGTCGAACCCCAGACCTCTTGGTAACAAACCAAGGGCTTGACCATTAGACTAAACACTCCTAGGTAATGTTATAAGGTATTTGATGTTGAACTCTGTTGTAAGTTGAATTTTAGTACGGTGTTCATCATGAAATTGTTTTCAATTGGGTTGTATTCGTGCCATAAGACATTAGTTTATAAACGATTAGATTTTGAACTTTTTTTAAGAAATGATATTATCTATACTAATGGAGGGGGTGGCTAAGTCTCACAATGAGTTAGTAATAATGTGGTTCAAATTTGCATTTGGCGATAATCAAACCTAAGATCTCTCACTTACAAGTGAAGAGGAATACCATTAAACTGTAATAAGTGAGAGGATTACCATTATACTGTAGTACTAAGTGGTTAGATTTTGAACTTTTTTGAATTTGTTTGAATGTTGAATACTTGCATTAATGCTAATTTTTAATGAGCCTATAAGTGGCGCAAACAGAAACTAAAACCGTTTGAAACCTAATCGCAAAACCAAATAGTTTGATTCTATTTCTGTTTTTATCTCAAATAACATCTAACATAACTAAACTAAACCGTGCCCACTCTTGTCCAAATAGTCGTTAACAAAAAAGAAAAGATCAAACTGCACAAAATTCGCCATGCGGTTTAACACCATTGGTCCTTCACTAACATTAAACCCACAAATTGGCCATGTTAAAAATGAAAAATCACATTCTCTCTCCCTCTCCCTCTCCCTCTCTCTCTCTCTCTCTATAAACACGTTTCTCGAAAGAAAATCAAAATTCGCATATCCTTCCAATTTTTTTTTCTTTTCATTTTTTACCCATTCATTTGATAATATCCCCCTCTCTATAAACTCTCTCTGTGAAACTGACCCCCTCCGCCACCACAACCCCGTCGTCATCGTCGTCGTCGAGATAAATCTGAAACGACGCCGTCACCTAAAATCGTAACCTAATCTTCGGCTCATCTTATCCGCCGCCGCCATCGCTGCTTCCCCACCACAAAGCCCGACCATAACCGGGCCCGTAGAACCAAAACGAAAAAAACCAGTATCCTTTTCCCGGCGGGTCATTCGCCGGCGAGTGCACGTAGGAAAAGGTGCGCAAGATTGTTAACCTGCGCACACGGCAGACCTCTAGTTCTGTCTCCCCGTATTGACCTTGTTTCCTGGGGGCGCTCTTACAGCGTGAGTCTGGCTCTCTCTGTAAGCTCTCAATCATCGGCTCCTTTGTTAGGATTTGCTCCTTTCGATGTGAATTGTTTGAAACTAGGGTTTCTAGGCATGGATTTAGGGTTGCGGTTCGTATTTAGGGTTTTCTTGTAGAAATTTGAAAGGGCTCTTGGCGGTTGATTCTGTTCCAGTGTGCGAGTTCGGTCTTTGATCTATTGCTTGCTCTGTTTGGCTTGATTACATGATTGTTCTTGTGACATTGACGAATTTTTTGTTACCGAGTTGGATTTTGTTGAATTTTTAGTCAGTTTTCGCATTTTTGCAGGGGTTTAGGTGCTTAGTTGTGTCTACTAAATGAGTATCGGTATTGATATACTCAGTTTGTTTTTCTTCCCGTTTTCTATGTCTATGCAATGGGTCCGAAGTATCTACTGTTTCCGGTGTTTTAAAAGTCAACACTGTGTAATTGAACTGACAAACTAAGCCTGTATGCTGAGAATATGTGGGGGGAAGAAAGAAAAAAGGAATTTCAAAATTTGTATACAATCATTATACTATAAATGTAATTTTACAGGGTTCATTCAAGATGTTATGTTTGGTCCTAGCCCATTAAAGTTATTCATTATCTCTTAAGTAACTGTTTGTGATGTTCGTTCTTGGGTTTTCTTTAGTTGTCTCAGGTTGATGGAGGATTCAAATTTTTGCTTTTATTGTTATATGAATAGTTCTCCAGGTTTTCAGTTTCGATGCTCAGATTCACATGTAGAATGTTAATTTATTTTGGCCTACACTTGAAGTAATTTATTTGTTGTGAATTGAGCAATGATGGAAACACCTTGTTTCCACTTTGACCGGTGTTTTTGCTATTTGCAGGTGCAGACATTGCTAATATGAATCCATAGAATTTCCATGAGAACTGATGGCTTTTTTTAGGAACTATTCTAAAGACACTGTTTCACGAAGTGTCCTCGAAGAAAAGACCCAGGGAAAAAGTGTTGAAAGAATTCACAGTTCTACAGGGAATGATGATGTGGATGTAAAATCTTGTGAAAAGGAATTTGATATCAACATGGATGTGCAGTATCAAAGTGAAGGTGAACATGATGATGCTAGTAGGTTGCACAATGAGGTAGCAACAGATGAGGGTATGGGTACAAGAGTTTCCAATTTGCCCTCTTCTGGGAGGAGGACAACTGTGGCTGGAAAGTGGGGTTCGACCTTTTGGAAGGACTGTCAGCCTATGCACTCACAGGGCGGGTCTGATTCTGGTCAGGAAACTAAAAGTGGGTCGGACCACAGAAATGCTGTTGGATCTGAAGATAATTCTTCAGATGTCGGGGAAGATAGAATAGATTTTGAAGATGATGGCAGGCCAAAGGTAAGCAAGGGACAACGGGGGCATTCTGACATCCCTGCAGATGAAATGTTATCTGATGAATATTATGAGCAGGATGGGGAAGAACAGAGTGAATCGATGCACTATAGAGGGTTTCATCATTCCGTTGGGTCAAATTCTAGGCCACAATTAAAGCCTAATTCAGTCAGTAACCATGCACATCATAGAACTTCTAGAAATGATATTGAAGATTTTGAAGATGGTGATGATGCCAACGAAGATCTTGATGCTGCTGATGCTGATTATGAAGAAGACGAAGATGGTAATTTGCTTTGCAAATCTTTTCGTTTTATTAGAATTTGCTGCTGTTGGGCAGGAATATGGATCCTTCATTTCTTATATACCTTTTATCATTTTAATATTTTGATGATGTAGTAATTTTTTACTTCTCTTCATCATTCTCCTTCTTTGCAGAAGATGATCCTGATGATGCAGATTTTGAACCTGACTATGGTGTTGGGAGTGGTCGCACTGCACAGAAGGTGATAATCAGTTTAATTAGTAAATTTACGTTATTAGTTTGCTGGCTTGAAGTTGTCAGAAGTTATTATATAAAAATTTGTTCTGATGGCTCTACGCTCTGCTAGAGCCTCATTTCTTGCAACTGCCGTTTTCACTTTATTTTCCCAATTCTAACTTTGTATTTTTACTTTTGAGTGTTTAACTGATAAGGAACAGAGCTTTACATGCACCCCTATGGTCAATTAACCTTGGAAGATTATTTGCAATTTGTAGTGCATAATTTTCAAGAGGGTAGTTTCAAAGAAAAAAAAATCAGTTATATTATTTGTTGACTTACTTTGAATAGTGTTCTATTTGTTTATTTTTTCATGTATACTTGTCACTTTCTCCGTCTCTCTGTCTTTTGCATTGGGTGATGTATTCAGTGGTTTTGTCATTCTACAGTACACTAATGAAGTTGTTCTTTGATGACACCAGGATAAAAATTGGAATGGTGAAGATTCTGATGAAGACAATGATAGTGATGATGAGCTTGATGTTTCAGATGAAGATGATTCTTATTATGGAAAGAAACCTAAGAGTAGGCATCAAGGTGATGCTAAATCGACAAGGGAACGCAAATCATATCATTCGTCTAGTCGCCAAAGAAGAGGGAAGTCATCTTTTGATGATGATGAGTCCTCAGCGGAGGACTCTGAGAGTGATGGTGACGAGGATTTTAAAGGTATCAAAAGGAAAGGTGTACATACCCGCAAAAGTAACGGCCGAAGAAATGTTCTTGGACAAAATGGTGAGGTGCGAACTTCTACGAGGTCTGTTAGGAAGGTCTCATATGTTGAAAGTGATGGAAGCGATGAAGTGGAAGAAGGAAAGAAAAAGAAGTCCCAGAAGGTATCTGTTTACTTCTGTGATCTAACATCCATGTATTTTGGTACCATTTAAGATCACATCTTTTATTTGCATGTGTGATTCTCACATTGGAAATTGTGCAACATTGGGGAAAACTGAGCCTAGACATCCTTAAGTGAAATAAGATTTGTTTTTATGTTAAGGATTTGTCATGTAATGATTTGTTTTTTTTTTTTTGCTACTTATCTACTGTCAAAAGCTATAGTTGGAAAAAGTAACGTAACACAGAAATTAGAATGCAAATGAATTTGGAATTTCTTTTGGCAATAAGGTGGACTGCTGGTTTGATTAAGTTTTCTAAAAGTGCAGTGGAGATGTAGTTTAAAACAGTTTAAACTCATAGGCTAATGTGTATAGGCAGCTTGTTTCTAGAACATTCGAAGGAACGTACTGGATGAATGTGTAATTGTGTGCATTGTAAGATAGGTTAGACAAAGATTTCATTCGCAAAAGAATAAAAAAGGAAAGGAAGGCAAAGAGCTCAAGGATTTCTACGATGAATCTTTATGTTCAAGTGTCCCATTATGTTAAATATTAGAATGGCTGGTCTTGGTGGAATTTGGTTCCTTAGCATGTTTTTGCTAAATACAGCGGTCCCTTTGGATCGAGTTGGAGATTGGGTGGTAATTGGTGCATCATTGAAGTTTAAGAAATTTGTTAGGCATACATATATTAAAGTTGCATTGATGGATATCAAATCATGTAATTGGTTCTCTCCATCTCATTAAAAATTGGGGCATATTAAAATTGTGAAGCTGGTGATATTCAGGTTAAATTCCACTAGAGCTTTTGTATTTTGGTAAAAAATTTGGACAAGTTTTGAATATGTTGCATATTAGGGTTCCGTTTAGTTTTCCTCGGTTTGTAATATTCTCTTTACTCTAGATTAGAATGATTCTTTGCTAATCCAGGATAGGATGATTTGGAAGACTTTCAAAGTCCAAATTCTTGCATGTGGTGGCACATAGGAAAACTACTTGCAATGTGCAGCAAGAAAGAAGACCCTTAGTGTCTTTGTGATGTGGTATATTTGTTCAAATATGCTGGCAAGAGCGTTGGCCTTCCTCTTCCACGTTGTAAATTTGTATTTAGCGGTGCATTTGGCCATGAAATTGTGGTCTCTTTGCTGGTCAAGGATCTTTTGGGTTCTGGGGCCATGAGGAAAGGTTCACTCATTGGTGATCTCTAGGTTCTGTTTTTATGTGGACTGTTTTGAATACAAACAACTACAACAACAACAACAAAGCCTTTTCCCACTAAGTGGGGTCGGCTATATGAATCTTAGAACTCCTTTGCGCTCGGTGCTGTGTCATGTCCTCCGTTAGATCCAAGTACTCTTTAAGTCTTTTCTTAGAGTCTCTTCCAAAGCTTTCCTAGGTCTTCCTCTACCCCTTCGGCCCTGGACCTCTATCTCGTAGTCACATCTTCTAATCGGAACATCAGTAGGCCTTCTTTGCACATGTCCAAACCACCGTAACCGATTTTCTCTCATCTTTCCTTCAATTTCGGCTACTCCTACTTTACCTCGGATATCCTCATTCCTAATCTTATCCTTTCTTGTGTGCCCACACATCCAACGAAGCATCCTCATCTCCGTTACACCCATTTTATGTACGTGTTGATGCTTCACCGCCCAACATTCTGTGCCATACAACATTGCCGGCCTTATTGCCGTCCTATAAAATTTTCTCTTGAGCTTCAGTGGCATACAAGTATATTCGATAATGCGGTTGAATAGGATACTCCCTTGCTTGTGAATTTATAATTCATATTGAGCGGATAGGAGTGTTGACTTGAAGGTAATTTAATTCTTGTGATGCTATGGTAGTTTGTTATGCTGAGACAGACCTCTTGTAACTCATCTTTCTATATTACATTATATTTTTCAGTTCATGTCAGGATAAAAAAAAGAGAAGCTTTTGCTGGTTTTTATTCTTTAGCTTGATCATTCCCCTGTTATAATAATCCAAGATCTCCTGATCTCCATCTGATTAATGGTGCTACCTCTATTATGAATGTGTTGAGCAGAAGTGCGTGTGTGAGTCTTTCTCTATTTACATAATGGAATGCTCCAGACCATAAAGAACATGTAATTGGGCAGGGAACTTTCTTGCACTTGATGCTCCATGCCTATTGTGTATCTGTTTATTTCTGTAGTTGCTAGTGTCTAACTGCTTTAGTTTGGGTTATCCCTCATTGATTGTATGTTAAAAATTTTGTTCTGTTATTTCTGATGCTTGATTTATTCATTTAATTTTGTATCTGTTCTTTTAGGAGGAGATTGAAGAAGAGGATGGTGACTATATTGAAAAGGTGCTCTGGCATCAGCCTAAAGGCATGGCTGAAGATGCTCTCAGGAACAATAGATCAACGGATCCTATCCTATTAAGTCACTTGTTTGATTCTGAGCCAGATTGGAATCATATGGAGTTCTTGATTAAATGGAAAGGGCAGTCCCATTTGCACTGTCAGTGGAAATCAATTTCCGAGCTACAAAATGTAATGCTCTATAGTATTTCTTCTTGGTTATGCACAAGCACTGGATTGAGTTAATTTATTAGATACATTATGTCAAATGTATTGGTATTGTAACTTTATCTTTTGGATTTTTTGTACAATCTGTTGTTCAAGATGCTCTATGTTTTGGTTTTTATTTTGCAGCTTAGCGGTTTTAAGAAGGTTTTAAATTACACTAAAAAGGTGATGGAAGATGCCAGGTACAGGAACACAATATCACGTGAGGAGGTACTTGTTTTCCTTTTTCAACATGGATTTATTTTCCGAAGTACTCATAAAGTGAACATGCCACTGTTTTTTCCCTTTTCTTTCTGTTTTTTGTTTTTTATTTTTAAGATGGGATCAAGAAGAGCTCACTGTGCGCTGTACAAATTTTTAAAATGACATATTCGTTGTAAGACACAAATGTTTTCATTGAAATGTAATACTTTAATCTGAAGTATTTTTGCTCAGTAAATGTCTGCCAACGCTTCTTCTTTTGCATATAGTACAGGGGCATAGCTTAATATTTACTGTACAAAAATACTTATGGGTTGTGGGAATGTAGAGGAATACATTTGTGGAAGCACAGGGTTGATGAAGTGGAGTTTTTTGGGACCTTTGGGCTTCCCTTTGGTGTTGTATCTTCTGAGTTTAGGGATAGTTCTTTTCAGGCTTTATTTCATGATTGGACTGCTGCTTTATTTTTGTTTTCCTTGATGAAAGCATGGTGTTTTCCCTATTTTTGTTGTCCTTGATGAAAAACATGATGTTTTCCCTAGTCTGACCACTGGACAACCTGACCCCTGTATTATAAATTTATTTTTATTTTTATTTCAGCTGACCCCACTTAGTGGGAAAAGGCTTTGTTGTTGTTGTTGTAATGGGGCTCTGTGATATAAAGAAAAAGGCAGTATACCTATAGTCATATTCTGCCTTAAATTTCGAAACAGGTTTGTAAGGGCAAGTATGAGGTGTTTTCTGTAATGTTATTAGAATATGGTGCTCAAAACATGAAAAATATGAAATGGATGAGGAGTGAGGCATTAGACGTAGAATTTTGTCAATGTCCTTTTGTGTTTACTGTTTGTTTTTCTGTTGAAATTTAGTGAACCAGAAACTGTAGATTTTGTTTTAATTTTGAAAGGACTTACACTGGAAGAGCCTTAAACCCTGTTCCTAACTAAATATTGTGAAAGTTAGATTCTCAGTCTCTTAAGAATAGTTGTTAATTGGGTGCCACCTTAAGAATATCTTTTAACTTTGGCATTAGTTTGTTGTCAAAAAATCTGATTGAAGTCTATTGACTTTAAAATTGGACACGTTCTGTGGAAATGTTTCATTTATAAAATGCATCATGATTCTTTCCCATGCGTAATTGATATTTGACTTTCCATGTAATAGATCGCATCAGATTTTATGGTTTTTGTTATTATTTATTATTTTTTGTTTTCATGTGAAGTAGCTCATTTATCTTTTTTTGGGGGATTATGTATATGCTTGCTAGATTGAGGTTCATGATGTGAGCAAGGAAATGGACTTGGATCTTATCAAGCAGAATAGTCAGGTTTGCTTTCCTACATTTCACAATTTTGATTTACTTTCTGAAAGTACATTTTTCTCATTTGCTTACAATGGTTTGTAAATGATTCTCAGGTGGAGAGAATAATTGCAGACCGCATCAGGCAAGATAGCTCTGGTGATGTGGGTCCGGAGTATCTAGTCAAGTGGCAAGGGTTGTCTTATGCTGAAGCAACATGGTAAGTTAAGCTTGACTTATTGAAAATCATTTTCTGTCCAGTACTGCAGATTATTTGCTCATTTTGTATATCATGCCTATCTCTTTCGTATATGCTTGGGTTAAAATTGTACTATTCATGCTAAATTAATTGTACAAGTTCCCAGTGCTTTTTCTTAAATAGTGTTTGACTCTCTGGTGCTATGGCTTTTCTTCAGTTCTAATTGCAATAATGAATGCTTATATTTGTCAATGGTATCTGATGGTAGGGAGAAGGATGTAGATATTGGGTTTGCACAAGATGCTATCGATGAGTTCAAGGTAGTGTTCTATCTTCAATCTTCATGTTTTTAATTTTCATGCATTTGAAGGTCACCTGAACATTGATGGTTATTTCTTTTAGTGTGTGGTGAACTTTTTCACGAGTGGACACAGTTGCACATGATTAGATTTTTCTAATGCTTGTAACTTTGGTTGTGGATTGTTATTATGAGCAGGCTCGTGAAGCTGCAATGGCTGTACAAGGGAAAATGGTGGATCTCCAGCGCAAGAGGAGCAAAGGTTTGGGCCTTAGTGTTTGAACTAGCTTATCATCTTCTCGTTTGCATATTTTTTTCCTTTTCAATTCTCACTGCCTGGGTCATGGCATTTTCTTGTTTTTCATTTTTGCTAGCAAGGTAGTCATTGCATTCTCTTTCTGTGATAGGAACATCAAATTTTAAGCATACAACCAGAAATGGCTGGAAAAACATTGCAGTTAATTCATAACTTCTGTTTATTGAGTATCAATTAAACAAGGCAATGACCTTAAAATTCTTAAGGCGGTGTTTACTTTATTTTCTTGAGTCTGAGCAGTGAATGGGTCATTGATCCTAAATCTTGATTGACCTCATTACTCAAGTGCTACTTTTTCGCTTTAGATTTAGTATAAGGTTTAAGTTACTGAATTTTATTTAAAAAAAAACCAAAATCATCTTAAAATACGTATTTGACACATCAGTGCTCAATTCTCATTCCCCTCACCAATCATAGAAAATTGCTTGGCTTATAAATTTTTGAGAATTTCTAGGAAAAGGAGGGGGGGGGGAGCTAGAGCTTTGTGGGGCTGTTTGGTGTTGGCAGTTTTTTGAAACATTTGGTTGGTGTGTAATTGAAGATTTTTTTTTAAGATTATAAGTGAGTGGGAGTAAATGAACTGTAGGGCAGAGTTAGATGTTGGCCATCATTTTCGAATGAGTTCAGGGATTATTCTTTTTCTTGTCTTAGAAATCTAATAGTTACACAGTTCATGTCCTGTTCAAAGTTATTTGTCTTTTAACTCCCACACTATGGGTTTGATAATTGATTTTCTTCTTCCTCATCATCTTTGTTTTCTTCTTCCTCTTATTCATTTTGGCGAAATACCTTTCAATAATAACATTAAATGTCTGCATTTTCATCTGATTCTATACAGTATTTAGGATATATTGGTATGCTGACAATAATACATGGATTTCCTGGAAGGAAATACTCATCCCTCGTGCTATTTCATATCAGTGTCTCAAATTCTGGAAAAGTCACATACTACTTAGGACTACCAAACCAACTCCTTGGCCTTATATGGAGGCCTGATGTTGACAGATACTGAAGACTATCTAAAGTATATTCCGAGTCATCTGACCTACCATAAGGATCCCCCTTGACCAGGCACAATACTGCAACCTATTCACTAGGCACTAACCCAATTCCTCTAGTTTTGTTATTCTTCTTGGTAATAATGAAATGGATAAGCTATCGAAGTATTTTTCCTTTTTCTCCTTATATACAAAAGGCATATAATATTTTATAGGATTATAAAGGTATATATTATCGAGTTTTTGCTCTTTCCATTTTCATCCCTTTCATTTTCTTGCTATGTATTGATTTGTTTTGTTGCTCTTCTTGAAATACTGTGATCATTTTTCTTTTATTTTAAAATTGTTGTTAATGATGTTTAGGAAGTCTACGGAAGCTCGAGGAACAGCCGGAATGGTTGAAGGGAGGAAAGCTTCGTGATTATCAGCTTGAGGGTTTGAATTTTCTTGTTAATAGGCATGGCTTGTTTATTACTTCTATCTCACATTTATCGTTGGAAAGGGATTCCTTAATATGCCATTCTTGGAAAGTTTCTAATCAGCAGCTCTTGCATGTTGCAGTTGGAGGAATGATACCAATGTCATTTTAGCTGATGAAATGGGTCTTGGTAAAACTGTTCAATCAGTTTCAATGCTTGGTTTTTTACAGGTGAAGATGAAATCCAAACTCTTTGCTGACTAGCTTGTAAAATGTTATATTATTTAGCGTAGTTTCAAATGTGTTGGGTTTTTTCAGCCCATGATAAGTTGTCCTAAGTCTATTGGGAATTAATAGTCTTAGAGGATTAAATTGTTTTCCTAGTTGGAGTTGTTTTCCCAATTGGAGTTAGTTTCTCAATTGGAGAAGGATTCATAACTAGATTCCAATTAGGATTAGTAATCCTTATTGAAGAAGACCTTTATTATGTCTATATAAAGGGGCTATTGTACTAGTTTTGAGAAGGGAGCAAAACAATAAATTGTATACCACTCAAGGGATTAGAGTGAGAGAATATTGTAAAGTGTACGAGAGAAAAGAAAAGAGAGGTTATTTCTTGTTCTTGTTCTTTCAGGTTTTCGACAAGTCCTAGTTCTAGAGATTTGGCAAGATTATTGGTTGTACTCATTATTGATATAGTGAAAGATGTTGTTGTTGTCCCGTCGACGTAGGCACATATTGCCGAACCACGTAAATTCTTGGTGTTATTTATCTTGGTTGTTTGTTTTTCGATTTCCAGAGTTTGTTCTTGTTTTTCCCATTCTTAAACGCAATATTCTCAAAAAAATGAACGTGAGATTGTAATTTACATGAGATTTTAACCTTTCTTTTTTTATTTTTTATTCTTGCATTCTTGCAGAATGCTCAACAGATCAATGGGCCGTTTCTTGTTGTTGTACCATTATCCACTTTGTCTAACTGGGCCAAAGAATTTAGGAAGTGGCTCCCTGATATGAATATTATTGTGTATGTTGGTACTCGTGCAAGCCGAGAGGTAAGACTTGCTTTCTTGTACACATGTATGAGGTTCATATATCAATTATTGATCTGTTTGTTAATTTCTTTGATTGTAGGTTTGTCAACAGTATGAATTTAATAATGATAAAATAGTAGGCCGGCCTATAAAATTTAACGCACTATTGACGACATATGAGGTGGTTTTAAAGGATAAGGCTGTTCTTTCCAAGATCAAGTGGAATTATCTAATGGTTGATGAAGCTCATAGATTAAAGAACAGTGAGGCACAGTTGTACACAACCCTCTTGGTATGCAGTCAGCCAATCAATTGTCACACCTTTATCAAGTTTAAACTCGTCTTACATTAAATGATGCGTTGGTGGTTTGACAGGAATTTAGCACGAAGAACAAGTTGCTTATAACTGGTACTCCCTTGCAGAACAGCGTAGAGGAGTTATGGTAATTGATTTGTTTTCTTATTCTCATATTTCTGCTTGTGCATGCATTAATTTTGTTTTTTTAAGTGCTTATGTTCTTGTGTGTGTGCGATGGCAAGTGCCTTCGCCCATGAGCGGTAGGTCTCGGGTTCGAGACTTGGGAGCAGCCTCTCCATAAAATGGGGGTAAGGCTAGCCGACATTCACCTCTCCCAGACCCTGCGTAAAGCGGGAGCCTTGTGCACTGGGTACGACCTTTTTTATGTTCTTGTGTGTGTGCTTGGTTAAGCATTTGGGTCCAAAAGTTACTCTATTCTCCTATGTATACGTTAAGAGGGGTGGGGTGTGCACAATTCATATCATATGGGATCCTTCTGAACATGTTTGCGAGCGGTTTTCTCTTGGCCTGCATCACTTACCCTAACCATTACACATTATTTTCTCCCAAAATTACTCTTGTTCTCCTTTCTTTCTCCTCTCTTCGTTTTTTCTTCTCTTCCTCTGTATCATATCCAATTGGTGCCATGAGCGGCTCCGATCCGAGGTGTTCAGCCACCCCTTGGATTCAGTGTGAGAGAAAGAGGATGGAAAATGAGAAGAGGGGGGATGCTTCTTTCCGATTGTTTGGAGGTAGAGAATGAGGAGAACAACAAGCTGGTGGTGTTGGGTGATGACGAAATGGAGGGGATGGGAGAAATAGAGGGATAGAGATAATTTTCTTTCTATCTGAGTAAATTTTGGATTTATTTTATCTGGGGGTCTTTAAGGATTTTGCGAGCTGGTTTCACGGAGGTTTTGGATTGAGTTTTGTTTCTGGCTGCCCTTATCTGTAAGGAAATCTCTCTCTCGCTCGCTCTCTCTCTCTCTCTCTCTCTCTCTCTCTCTCTCGCTCTCTCTCTCTCTCTCTCTCTCGCTCTCTCTCTCCCTCTCTGCTTAGGCAAGACTGGATAGCATTTGTTCTCTAATGGCTTCAAGTGTCTGTTTGTGCTGGGTGTTTTCTTGTTTTAGCTTTCTAAGGCGTGTTTGTTTTCTGTTTTCTGGTTTGGTCTTCTTGATCAACCTCTTTGTGGTTTCCTTTGACCTAAATACAATCATTTCTTGAGTTGTTTTCTGGTAAGGGTAAAGTTTTTTCTTTTATTTTTTATTTTTCCTATCTTCTCTTGAAAGAGTTGATTGACTAGCACCGATACCATGGGTCATGCATGAGTTTTCCAATGCCTTCCATATTTTTTTCTTTCTTCTTTTTTGGTAAATTTCAATTATTGTTCAGGGCTCTGCTTCACTTCCTTGACCCTGATAAGTTCAAGAATAAAGATGATTTTGTTCAGAATTACAAGAATCTCAGTTCATTCAATGAGATTGAGGTATTGTCCAGTGAAACTTTATTTACATTCTCTCTGCACCTGAATTTTTCATGTTCACCTTTGTTGATAACTATTGTTATATCTATACCATGAATTAATGTTTGTTTTGGGTTTATGTTTAGCTTGCTAATCTGCATATGGAATTGAGGCCTCACATTCTTCGAAGAGTTATCAAGGATGTGGAAAAGTCTTTACCTCCTAAAATTGAACGAATTCTTAGGGTTGAAATGTCTCCTCTTCAGAAACAGTACGTGATTGAACTTGTAATGAAGTGGTCTTTTATTAACTCTTTTCAGCTGATTTGACATTCTGCTCTTTGGTTCTGAATTATTTAATTTAGGTACTATAAATGGATTTTGGAACGCAACTTTCATAACTTGAACAAAGGAGTTCGTGGGAATCAGGTTTTTTTCCCCATTCCTCTTCCATGTGTAGAATTAATTGTAACTGTAAGGTTTGCAATTAGCATATTAGTAAAAAAAAATTTGGCATTGTAACTGGAAATTTGACTCGATCTTTGATTGTGTCTGCCTTGTGTTGAATTAATTGTAACTGTAAGGTTTGCAATTAGCATATCAGTCAAAATAATTTTTTGCCTTGTGTAGAATTAATTGTAACTGTAACTGTAACTGTATTTGTGTTTTATCTTTCAACCTTAAATTAACTCAATCATTTGCATGAAATGAACTGTTGTGAAAATTGAAGACTGTTTGTCTTGGTATGTGGGGATGATTATTTTCCAAACACCGTTGGAGTTAAAAGAGAAATTTGGAAAAGCCTGACATGCTAATAAATAATTATCTCTGTCAAATTTTATTTACATTGATACTACCTTTTTTATGTGCACTCAGCAATAGTTCTTCCTCTATTCTGAAAAGAGTAAAAAAGACTGAAATGTCACAAAATACATTTGCTCGTCTCTTGACTCACAACATTGGAGTGCCACCCTTCACTTTTCTTATGAGGTCCGCTAATTACTGAAACCTTTTCAGTTTACTCAAGTACAGCAAGAAATCCTGCACCAAAATTGGTGTTGAAACTTTCACAACACCCTCTTCCTTTAATTCCGTCTTTGAAACTTGGCAGTCAACATAGTAAAAATTAATGATAATAGGAGTTAAGTTGCCAAAATATTGCCATATAAAAAGAACACGAAATTATAGGCAATATTTCTACTGATAGAAAATGTAATCAGTTGAATAATACCTGCTTTACCTTTACCATCTCTTTCTTCTTTGTGCGGTGATTGTTTAAAATAATAGCAGTTCCATTCTTTTACCTTATTTTTTTCCTTTGCAGGTTTCGTTGTTGAATATTGTGGTAGAGTTGAAGAAATGTTGTAATCATCCCTTTCTGTTTGAAAGTGCTGACCATGGTTATGGTGGGGACTCAAGTATTAAAGATGGCAGTAAATTGGAGAGGATTATTTTAAGCAGTGGAAAATTGGTTATACTTGATAAGCTTCTTATGAAATTGCATGAAACAAAGCACCGTGTTCTCATATTTTCCCAGGTTTATTTACTATTTAGTTGGATTTAATGTTTTCTCATACTTATCTTGTTGAGTTGTTTTCGATGCACTTTCTAACTCCATCTCAATTCAGTGTTGGAATCCATATCTGTTGCTATTTGTAGGGAAATATCATCGGTTGGTTGTTTGAGGATATAACACTACTGGCCTTCTTTCTTGCCATGCTTTTACTGTTCCTACAATTGCCACTTATCTAATCTCTACAATTGCCATGCTTTTAGTGCCTTGATCTTTGATTTGGGAGTGACGCTGTTCGTGTGGAAACATGACTTGTGTCTGTGTCAACATATTTTGTATATTTGTTTCTGTAGCAGTTGGCCACATGCTGGAGTATTGCATGTGTTAATAGTTAACGACTACAAAGTTACTCAGGCAGCTTAGGTACCGGGGTTATTGGTCTGTTTTCCCCCAGCCTGTAGTGAATCTGATGCAAGCTGCATATTATTTACTCTAGTTAGGGGACAAGATTTCCAAGATTATGCTATATTACTTTTAATTGGTTGGTACAGAGATATCATTTTAATTGGTTGATACAGAGATATTATGGCTACTAATCATTGAAATCATTTATTGCAGATGGTAAGAATGTTGGACATACTGGCGGAGTATATGTCAATTAGAGGTTTTCAATTTCAGCGGCTTGATGGGAGTACAAAGGCCGATTTACGCCACCAAGCAATGGAACATTTTAATGCGCCTGGTAGTGAAGATTTTTGCTTCCTCCTTTCAACTCGAGCCGGTGGCCTTGGTATCAACCTTGCCACAGCGGATACAGTGATAATATTCGACTCAGATTGGAATCCCCAAAATGACCTTCAGGTTTATTTAAAAGACTTTTTTTCTTAACTCTACCAATGGGCATAGTTTTACATGCTAGTGTAACTAACTTTCACACTGAAGACCTGAGTTTGAACCTCCCCTTCTCAATGACTGAATCAGGCAATGAGCAGAGCGCACAGAATAGGGCAACAAGAAGTTGTTAACATCTATAGATTTGTCACAAGCAAAAGTGTCGAGGAAGATATTCTGGAGAGAGCTAAGAAAAAGATGGTACATTACATAACTTTATCTTGAGATATGATTTATAAATTTGAACCGTGCAGTTTGTACATATAGTATCTGCATATGCATTATGCATACAATTTTTCACTTGAGTTCATTTATTCAATCTAATATGTTTTGTTTTTTTCAATGTGTTCCATAGGTGCTTGACCATTTGGTGATTCAAAAATTAAATGCAGAGGGTAGGTTGGAGAAGAAAGAATCTAAGAAAGGGACTTTATTTGACAAAGTAAGGACTTGAGTTAATTGTTTATCGTGCTGAATTCAGTTGGGTTATATAGGGACTTGTAAATGTGGGGAAAATGGAAGCAGAAAGATTCGAAGATTATTTGTGGTTTTCCACTTATAGATGGATCTCTTTCTACATGTATTACCTTCAAGGGGAACAGTATATATATTTATATACACACACATATATAGTTTTACCATACGCCAATTGTTCTCTTTCTATGAGCATAACTAATATATCTGATTTTTTGATTTCGTAATTGCAGAATGAGCTGTCTGCTATTCTACGATTTGGGGCTGAGGAACTTTTCAAGGAAGACAAAAATGATGAAGAGAGCAAGAAAGGACTCTTGAGTATGGATATTGATGAGATTCTTGAAAGAGCAGAAAAGGTTGAAGAGAAGGAAACTGCAGAGGAAGGGAATGAATTGTTGAGTGCTTTTAAGGCATGTTTTTTTCATTGTGCTCTGTTCCCTTACTTTGATTGAGTTCCCTCCCACAGGAGTTTTTTTTTTTTTTTTTTTTTTTTTTTTTTTTTTTTCTTTTCTTTAACACAATGTCACTGTGGCCTAAAATCAAAGGCACAGGACTTCTTGGGTTCGGGGTAATTTTGAGTAAAGATGGTGATGGAGGGATGCTGTATAGTTGCTACTACTTTCACGTTAAAGCATATTCATCTTTGTTTTGTCTTGGTACATATATGTCCAGGTTGCAAATTTTGGTACTGGTGAAGATGATGGTAGTTTTTGGAGTCGTTGGATAAAGCCAGAAGCAGTATCCCAAGCTGAAGTATGAATCTCTTCTGTTGTATACTGTTTTACCATACTAGTATTCTATCAGTCGGATAAAATGATGTATTTGTTACTTTCTTTTAGGAAGCGCTTGCTCCTCGTGCTACAAGGAATACTAAGAGCTATGCAGAAGCCGATCAGCCTGATAGAAGTAATAAAAGAAAAAAGAAAGAATCTGAGCCTCAGGAAAGAGTCCAGAAAAGGCGGAAATCAGATTATACAGTTACCTCTGCTCCAATGATTGGCGGAGCATCTGCTCAAGTTAGGAGATGGTCTTCTGGGAACTTATCTAAAAGAGACGCATTGCGATTTTCTCGTGCTGTAAGCTCCTACTTATAAGTTGCAGCTTTGTTGTGCATAGTTTTATAGTCATAACCTTGCAGTAACTGTCGAAAATCCTTCATTCTCTCCATCCAAACCACCCATAACCACATATTTGCTTGTTTGAGAAAGCTCATAATATTTCATGTGTAGCACCCAAATATATATACAGAAAGGGTACTTACATACTCTTACCTGCTTGAAAAAAAGAAAAGAAAATACACTGGGGTAGGGGGGAGCATTTCACTTTTGGATTGAAATGGCCAGTATTTTTTACGACACTAACCCGTCCCTCTTGGATATTTGTTTTATGTTTTTTGTTTTTTTTGATTTTTTACTTTGTGGTTTTAATATGAAAGATCATCATATTTTATGATTTATCAAAAGACTGTGTCTTAGACTTGATCTGATTGGACACCTTCTCACAAATGGTTTTGTCCTTTTCAGATGTTTCTTTTAGGTGCATCTCATTGCTATAATATATTTCCCTTACGTAATTATATCTATAGATTGTTCTGTTTCCTATGATACATGTATTTCAGAATCGAAGTGGCAAGAAAATGTACCTTGCTTTTATGTCGATGTATTCTTGCTGAGTGTTATGATCAAAGTCCACTTTCTTTGAGAACTATTGTGTTTGGGTTTAGCCTTTCCTTTTCGGTGGCAAATAAATAATTTATTTCATTACTAAATTGTCAGGCTGGAGTAATAAATTATTAACCTTTTTTTGTTCATGCCTTCTAATTTTGAGTGGTTTTGGAACATTTTTAGACTTAATAATAGTTGGGTTGGGCTTGTCTTTCTCTTTAGAGTAAAAGAAGGGGGGCAGGAGTAGTTGTGGTTCATTAATTAGGTTTTGTACAAAGAAGTATCAACTGAAATATTAGAGGTCTGGAAACTCATACATATCAACTGAAGTATTGATCAGTACAAGTGAAGGGGCAGACAATGGAAATTTTGGGTGAAAAATGGAACTTGTGATTATATTTTGACAGGAAAATAAGTGCAAAGTGTTGGTGCATTCCTTCTACTTTTCCTTTGTGTTTTTTTGGTGGATGTAGTGTGTCTTGTAACAGATATATTTACTCAAAAACTGTTTATTACAGAGAAGAAATTATCAAATATTTCTCAAATATTGTTTATAATGGTCTAATTACTTATTTGTAAGTAATTCATATTCAAAGCAAGATGGCCAGAGTACAGCCATTCCACGAGGAAGGCTGGCATAAGTATCAAAGATACAAGCAGCACTAAGTTACCAACTCAAAAGTAGAAAAAATAACTTACAAACCAGAAACAACAAAAACCCATAAAAAAAAAAGGGCAAGGCAGCCCATTTGATAAGAAAATGTTGTTGTGCAACTTTATATATACACATATTTGTTCAAATGCCACTATAAATTTATGCATATTTTTATGTATAATTATCTTAACACTGCCCTTTCTTTTTATATTAGGTTATGAAATTTGGGAATGAGAGCCAAATTGCCTCGATAGTTGGGGAGGTTGGTGGTGCCGTTGCAGCAGCTTCAACTGAAGCACAGGTTGAGCTTTTTAATGCATTGATTGATGGCTGCACAGAAGCAGTGGAAGTGGGGAGTCTGGACTCGAAGGTTGTTTTAGATAATGTCTATTCATATATATTTGTTTCGAATTTCTTGAATACCTATGTTTAATTGTTTTATGTTTTTGTTGCGGGTGAGTACTTGCTGACTGATGTATTTTACAAATTTGTGGTACTTATTAGGGGCCCATGCTGGATTTTTTTGGTGTCCCTGTCAAAGCTGGTGATCTGCTCAATCGTGTTCGTGAACTTCAGCACCTGGCAAAACGCATTAGTCGATATGACGATCCTATTGCTCAGTTTCGTGTCTTGATGTACCTCAAACCTTCAAATTGGTCGAAAGGTTGTGGTTGGAATCAAAGTATGTATTACTTATTTTCTTATAATTTAAGTTTCCCCCTTCCATCTAGAAAGACAGTAGTTTGGTTACTTTTTGCTGATATTTGCCTTCTGGATAGTTGATGACGCAAGATTGCTTATTGGAATATACTACCATGGCTTTGGAAATTGGGAAAAGATACGTTTAGATGAAAGGCTTGGCCTTACAAAGAAAATTGCTCCAGTGGAACTTCAACACCATGAAACATTTTTACCCCGTGCTCCAAATTTAAGAGATCGTGCTAACGCTCTTTTGGAAATGGTATGCAATAAACTTAGAACCGTGCTTATAATTTCTGAAGTAGGAAGTAGGATTGAAAAAGAAAAATGATTCTTTCTTGACCGGATAGTGTAAATTTAGTGGAAACCTTATGAGTGTGCCGAGATGATCGTTGTTTTAAGTACTTGTGAATTTGTGTCAAACTTATTGCAAGGTCTAAGATGAATCCTCCATTGTCGAAGCCTATCCATCCTAATGCTTTTAACTCTTGTCATCTGTTTATTTGCCTGTGCTTTAGTTTGTGTGTGTTTTGGATCCATTCTGAATGTGATTGATTTTCTTGAATAATGTGAGTAAATGATTTGGCTCCTATATTGCGTGAGTTGATGAATAAAATGACTGTAACCAGGAAATTGCAGCCCTTGGTGGAAAGAATGCAAATGCTAAAGTGGGTCGTAAGTCTTCAAAGGATAGGGAAACTACTGTCAATGTTTCTTTGGCTCGCAGTGGGCTAAAGAAAGGAAAAACTGGTTCTTCTAGAGTTAATGTTCAAATGAACAAGGATAGACCACTGAAACCCCAGAAAGTTGAAGCTTTAGTGAAAGAGGAGGGTGAAATGTCGGATGATGATGAAGTGTATGAGAAGTTCAAGGAGGAGAAATGGATGGAATGGTGTGAAGAGATGATGAAGGATGAAACTAAAACCTTGAAACGTCTTCAACGGTTGCAGACGACTAGTGCCAATCTTCCAAAGGAAAAGGTGCAGCTTAGATCATAAATTTGTCTTGTGCAGCTTAGATCATAAATTTGTCTTTCTGCCATTGTTAGATCATAATTTTCATGCTGGTATTGTTTTTTTTTTACTTTTTTTTTTTCAGGTGCTTTCCAAGATTCGAAGTTATTTACAACTTCTTGGACGAACGATAGATCAAATTGTTTTAGAAAATGAGGAGGAACCGTATGGACAAGATAGTATGTGCTTCATCCTTGTATGCTTTATTTTTGTCATTGCTGATTGCTTCTGTTTCTGCTATTGTTAGATGTTTCAAGATGTTTCAAGTTTAATTGATTAGGTTAATGTGTTACGTGAATAGTTGATCCTACATTAGACAAGCTCTTGGACTGCTTATATGACAAAATTGTTTTCCCTTTTCATGGGGTATGTTTTAAATTGGAGCCAATAGGTCAGAGATTAACGAAGTGCGCATCTACAGGGATGACCATGCGCTTGTGGAAATATGTTTCTACCTTTTCAAATCTGTCCGGGGAGAGACTTCATCAAATATATTCAAAACTTAAACAGCACCAGGATGTGGAGGCTGGCCCTTCCCACATGAACGACTCCGCTTCTGGTCCCTTCGGCAGAGACAGCGACCCTTCTCCCTTCTCCTTCCCTTCGGACAGGCAAAGAGGTCATGATACAGCCAAGTTTGAAGCATGGAAACGGAGAAGGAGAGGGGAAGCTGATAGTAATTTCCAAGTTCAGGCCCCATCTCAAAGAAATATGAATAATGGTACCCGGTTAACTGATCCAAGCTCATTAGGGATTCTTGGTGCAAGACCATCGGAAAATAAACGCACTGTGAATGAAAGGCCATACAGGACGCGACAGGCAGGTTTACCAACAAAACAAGGTTTTACATCACGTATTAAGTAGTTCGGCATACAAATTGGTAGGAGGAAAGCGGATGCTTAAGATGTGAAGTCTACTGGCTCTTGCTTAGGCATTTACAACTACAGCCCATACATATATTCTCTGGATTTTTTTACGTCAACCATGGGAATAAATTTTTGGAGATCCTACTTGGGTTTCTGAGATGATCGGAACAAGTTATCGACCAAATGGGATTTGCACCGTTGTACAAGGCGTGGCTGAGCCGCTGAGCTGACGACCCAAAGCATTGTCTGTCTCTGCAAGGTTGGTGGAATTTTGCAACAATTGTTATTTTCTCCTGAAGATGAGCTCGGTTGGTACTGTGTTCACGTAAATAGGGCCGGTTAGCGAGACGGTTTTCGTACTCACAGAATGTATACATACAGAAGGAGAATGTATTAACGCCTTCAGAAAGTGTACAATATCAATTTTGAAGTAGTTTTTTTGGTATTCCCCTGAGATTATTATTTTTTATATTTTTATATTGAGTTATTTATAGTTATACTTCACAATATATTTATTATTTACCGTTCATTGGTTCTATAGCAAGAAGAAATGGCTGAGATATGGCTTTAGGATATGGGAAAGTTTCTACCTCAGTCGGTCAGACTGGTTGGTTGGTTCTGGTTTGGTCTCGCATCCGCTTCGGGGTTTCCTTCCTTTTCATTTTTCTTGGCAATTTTTATTTCCGTTTCTCATGAACTGATTAGAGGAACCTCGTAGACGCCAGACCAACTACACTACTCAATAAAGTATTCGAACGTTTGATAAGTTATATTTTTAAACGTGTGGTGAGTTTGAAAAGTAGTGTAAAAATATTTGGTAAACTTCAATGCAAAAGTAATGTAATTGCATATAATAACAAAAATGGATACTGTTTGTACCATACTTAGAGTTTCCGTATTTAGACCTCGTATAAATACTCGGAGGACTCAAATGTAATTATGTAATAAATGAAGGGGTAAATATGTAATAAATGATGAGTCATTATTTTATAAAAGGACCCCTCACGCTCCTCATTAAGGGAGGCCAATTCTTAGGCCTGAGACCCCCAAAGCTTCACTCTCATTACAGAGGCTCTCTCATCCTTTCATCCTCTCACATCTCAGAGAAATACAATATCAGTGTAGACGTAGCCCAAACATTGGCGTGAACCACGATACATCTTGTGTTATTTACTTTCTTGCAGATTCACGGTCAGATTTACGTTGTTTCAAGACCCCTTCAATTTTGTGCGTCAACATTTAGCGCTGTCTGTGGAAATCGACACAAAAAAACTATGTCGGTTCTCTTTCATTTTCTCAACCTCCATCGTGAATCTGCAAAATCTGTAAAAACCCCAAAAACCCCAAAAACTCCAAAAACTCCCAAGTTCATTACTTTTCTCTATATCCAGCAAACCCCATTTGAAAAATACTCAGAAGTTCCAAAAGTCTATGACTTTTCTCTAAGTTGTGCGAAACCCATTTCTCAAAATCTCATCATCCCTCCATAAATTGAACAAAACCGCCCCAACGCAAAACATAAAAAGCTGAGAGATGCAGTCGTCAGATCATCAAAAGCTTTTGTTGGCAGAGTCAGTGCTTATCAGTGCTTGTCGGAGTTGTTGGCAGAGTCACTACAGACATCAAAAGATAGGACCGTTCAAGCAAGTTCTCTCGATATGCAGTCGTCAGATCTAGACCCGGATCCGACCCGCCAGCAGAACTCTGTCATAGAGCATCTACGACCACCCGCAGAAACAGGGCTTGCCGTTTGGCCTCCTTCCCGAGGGCATCACCGACTCTGCTCTCAACGCCATCACCGGAGAATTCCGAGTGTTGCTGGAGCAGCCCTGTCACGCCAAGTTCGAGAACCAGGTGCTCCATGTTTTTAACGTTTCCGGTTTTCTCTCTCTCTCCCTCTTCGAATCGCCGCCTGATTGCACCGTAGTTGACCCTTCTGATCCCAACTTCAATCCTGCCGCTCAGGACACCAACCACTACTCCCTTTCCCTATCCGGCTCGTCGTCGTTCGAGTTTCAAACTTCCAATATCCAAAATGGTGGCGAGCGATCGTGTGTGTTATTGGTGGTAGTAGTATAAGCGGTGGTGGTGGTGGACTCATCAAACGGTAAAGTGTACACAAGTCTACAGGGATTCAATTTAGTAGAAAGGGAAATGGAGTTGCTCCGGGCAAGGGGGATTTGAAATGGGTTCTCGAGTTCCTCGGGATTAGGAAATGGAGCAGGTGTGAGAAGCAAGTCAAGTTCTTGGATTCGGAAATTGGGTTCGAGAATTTGAGCCTGGAGAAAAGAGAGGTGGGATTTTTTAGCAGCCTGAAGAGTTTGCTTTGCTACTGTCGATGTGTGTTTTGATATTGTGGATGGTGAATCGGGTCGAAGATTCGAGACCAAATGCAGCGGCGTCAGCGTGGTGGGGGATTGCCTCAATTCGAAAGATTTTCGTTGCTCGATATCACTGGAAATCATGGCTGATCCAGTCACGATAGCAACAGGGCAGAGCTACTTTTGGTCAATTCTTGTTGCTAAAGTGCACCTGGGAAGCTCCTCCTGCTAAGATATCCACTAACTTTCATCATGCATGTTCCCCACAAACTGTACCTGACTTGATGCATCAGCAGGACCATCAGCTTTTTTAGCTCAATGAGGAAAAGAGAGAAAGCAAAAGCAAGTGAGAGACGCAGTCGACCGAGAAAAAGAGAAAAGAAAAAGTAAAAAAGGAAAAGGCAAAAGCAAAGGCAGAAAAGTAAAGAAAAGAGAAGGAGTTACCAAACAAACACAAATTGAAATTGTGATTGAATTGTATAGAAAAAAATGGTAAGCACCACCAAGGTTTTCCTGTCTTCAATTTTGCTTTTGAATCTCATCATCTTCTCTGTGTTCGCCATGGTCGACCAATCTGCTCCCAAATCCGTCGCTTTTTCCTCCGAAACGGCGGTCCACATCGTTTACACCAAGCGCCATCTCGAAAATGAGGAGCCCGAGTCCTATCACATCCGAACCCTAGCCTCCGTCCTCGGCAGTGAGGAGGCTGTGAAGGAGGCACTGGTGTACAATTACAAGACGGCTGGCAGTGGATTCTCTGCTAAGCTCACTCCTCAGCAAGTCGAACAAATTTCAACATGCGTAAGGTGTTGCATGTGGGCCCTGAAACCTGCTCAGTGGTATCTAAGTTACTAAAAGAAGAGGATACTGAAGCATGGGGTGTGGAACCATATGACCTGGAAGATGCTGATGCAAGTTGCAAGAGTCTTGTTAGCAAAGGCATTGTGTGGGTGGCTAATATAAAGTTTCCACTGCCATACCGAGCAAAATCATTTGCTCTCGTAATAACATCTAGGGATGGGTTCGGTACGGTTACCGTACCAAAATCCTTGTACCAATTACCGTATCAAATTTTCGGTTTGGTAAAATCTATTACCATTACCGTACTAAACTTTCGGTATACCGAAGTTCGGTATTGCCAAAAGTTCGGTTGGCATGGTATGGCAATTAAGGCTGGAAAAAAATCTCAAAAATCCCAAACCAAACCGAAAAAATCCCGATCCCAAACCAAAAATCCCGAAATTTTCGGTATGTAATCCCGAACCAAACCGATATTTTCGGTACGGGATTCGGTTTTGAATCTTAAATTTTCGGTATTCCCATACGAAAATAAATATTATATAATATATATATATATATATATTTTTTTTTCTTTTAATTATAAGAGAATTATTTCAACCGTTCATTGTTTTAGATTTAATCTTTGCCGTTCATATGTTTTTAGGTCAGAAACCATCTCACAACCATTTCACAAACTTCACTTTCGTTCTAGCCGTCTCTTCTCTCGTCTCTGATCTCTCCCTCGTCTCTGATCTCTGATCTCTCCCTCTTCTCTCGTCTCTGATCTCTTCTTTCGTTCTAGCCGTCACAACCATTTCACAAACTTCACTTTCGTTCTAGCCGTCTCTTCTCTCGTCTCTGATCTCATCTCTCTCTCTGTGACGAATTCCGGCCAGCCACCGGCCCACCACCACACTTGACGAATTGCAGAGTTCACTACTTCACTTCTTCCTCGTCCTTTCCTTCCACAACCCACGGTCCACCTCAGGCATCCTCTTCCTTCTTCTTCCTCCACCTCAGGTAAAAAAGTTCGTAACTTCCGTGTTGGGATGGTTTTCGATAAGCCAAAAGGAACACTGATGTTGGTTTCACTGTGGATGACGGGACAGGGCGAATCAAGTGCTGAAGATGGTAACTTTTTGCATTGTCCGTTTTGATTCCGTTTATATTATCACAATGTTTTGTTCGTTATTTTGGTCATCTCAGTTGGTACTGTTATTTTGGTCACTGAGTTTTGTTTTGTTCGTTGATTACCATGTTTTGATGTGTATTGGTTGCTTTGTGTTTTGAAGGTTGTACGTAAATTACACATGTCCATTTGCACAGCGGGTTTGGATCACTGAACTACAAGGTTTGTTCTCTTTTTTTTTCTTCACCATTTTTCTGTCTTTGGAGCTTCTGGCAATGACCCTGTTATAAGATAATTCAATTTGTTGTTTGAGAAATTGGCTAATATGATGAAATACAAATCCCAAGTGCGGAAATGATTTTTTCGAGATTTTGTTTTTTTTTTTCTGTTGGCTATATTTGATGGATATGTCGTCTGTATTTGATTTTAATCATTTCATGAATTGGTAAATTGAGAATTAATCAGAACCCATGTCTTATTGTTTGTTTTTGTTGAAATTTTTGAGTTGCAGGGTTTGCAAGACAAGATTAAGTTAGTCGGTATAGATCTTCAAAACAGGCCTGATTGGTACAAGGAAAAGGTCTACCCTGGAAACAAGGTATAATTTTGAACAAAAATGAGTGTTTTTTCTTCTTTGCTGCCATTGATTGTCTGTGGAAAATTGGGTGAAGCTGGATAAATCTCTTGATTGTATAATGAATGTTATGGATTCCATTGTCTGAGCTTTATCCCATGTACGGATGACTGTCTCTCATCTGTTTAAAAACAAAGTTAAACGTTTCATGAGACTAAGCTAGCTGTTCAAGTGGTTTCAGAGCAAGAACTCTAAGCAAAAGCACTCTGTTAACCACTATCTTAAAATCGGATTTGATAGAGGACGCGCTGCTCTGTAATATATCTCATAGAGATGGTGATTATTATGGTTGTTATATATCCTTGTGCAGGAAATCAACAAGATTGAGGCATACAAGGTAACAAAAGCTGATCCAAAGGAGATTGTTGCAGTGTTCAAGAAGCGACAGTATATGCCTTGAATTTGTTACAGGCCTGTGAAAAACTTCGACGAAGTTACCCTGTTGAGACGATCTCCATTGTTGGAAAGATTTGCTCTGAGGTAACTCCATTAATATACACTGTTATATATTAATATTAATGTACACACTATGCTGAACTGTGGTTGTGATATATTAATGTCCACGATCACGACCACCCATTGTAAGGGGAAGGGCTCAACCATCAACATCAAGGGAAAGATTACAAGTGCCAACAAGAAGGGGCCGAAGGGGCCGAAGATGTCAACAATCTTCATAAACTTGAAACTTTGTTTTTTTGCTTTTGGTTTGTAACTTAATTATTAAAACTTTGGATTGTAACTAATTTTTTTGCTTTTGGTTTGTAACTTAATTATTAAAACTTTAGATTGTAACTAATTTTTTTGCTTTTGGGTTTGTTACTTTATTTATTTTAAAACCTTGGCTACCATACAAGTGGAAAATGCAGCTGAACTGCTCTTATAAACATTGCAGGTTTGCCCAATATTTTTTTTATTTGGTTGAATAAAAGTTAAGCCCATATGTGGGGGTTGTTACATTCAATGGGCAGGCCCAATATTAGGTTTTTGTCCAATTGGACCAATATTAGTTTTTTTTTGTCCAAAAGCCCAAAATTATTTTTGGGATTCCCGATTTGTCCCGAAATCCCGAAACTATTTCGGGATTCCTGAAAATTGGGATTCTCGAAAATTTGGTTTGGGATCGGTATTGAAATTGGGATTCCCGAAAATTTCGGTATGGGAATCGGGACAAGGGTTTCGGTATGGGATCCCATACCGAACCACCCCTAATGGCAATGGTAATTGCCATTTTGTTTTGGGACAAAATTTGTTTTTGTTTTTTTAACCCAATTTAAGGGCAAAACTTTTTTTGGGTACCTTTATCTCATACATATAGATTAAATTCATCTATTATTCATCATTCACAATTCACACACATAATAATTCAAATGATGCATCAAGATTCATCATGAAAATTAAGCTTACAATCCAAATGGAAGTTACGAACCAAAACAAATAGAAGTTAACAATCCAAATAGAAATTAAAGTTTCAAACCAAATGAAAATTGGAAGTAAACTTCAAAAAGGAGAATTCATTGATCAGTTATTCAAGCTTGAGATGTCGAAGCTTTTGGAGGAGGCATTGAACTTGTAGAATATTGAGTTTGTGTCAAGCCTACATTACAAACAAAGAAAACATATTAATTAGTAGCAAGAAGAATTAAAGTTGAAAACCATTCAATAACAAATTTACTAAATAAATTAAAGCATATCTTTCTTGTTTTCTCTTCTTCCATTTTCTTGTAAAATTGAAGCATATCTTCCGTTGGTTCCTTGTAGAAGTTTACTTCATCTGTCCTAAGCCAACCACTAGTACGCACTAGTGCCTTCGTTATTTTAGGAGTCAAGGATACCCTACAAAGGTCCACAACCCTCCTCCCTAGGCTAAATGCATTTTCACTAGCAACAGTAGAAGTGGGAGTTACAAAGATATTTTGGCTATTTGTGAAAGAATTAGGAACTCTTTTGTGTTTGATTTCCACAATTTCAAGAGATCAAAGTCACCAACAACAATGCTAATATAAGTAGGGTTTTATTTTCAATTTATTGGAATATTATAAATATGTGTTATATAATTATCTATTATATAATTTATAAATTATATATTATATTGTATTTTCGGTATGTTACGGTAATACCGTGGTAATGATATCCATTACCAATACCGTACCATAAAATTTCGGTACGATACAATACCGTACCATTACCGATTGGTACAAAAAATTTGGCACAAAATCGGTATGGCACGGTTGGCAATTCGGTTGGCACGGCAATTTGGCAAAAAAATCCACCCCTAATAACATCAGTAAAGCTACAGGAAAAGAAACAAAAGAAGAAAAGAGAAAGAAAAAGCAAAAGAAAGAAGAAAAGGAAAAGCCGAAAAGAAGATGCTCTACTATTCCACTATCCCACGAGATAACATGATTAAAGACAAGAAGATGCCCACCAAGATTCCCCGTTTCCACTTTCTGTTGGACCAGAAGATGCCCATCAACATGCTGAAAACATGTAATTTATTTTTCTTATCTTTCGGAGACATCTGTATAAACCCCATCAGAGGGTAATTAAAAAAAAAATGGCAAGCCCAAAATAATGGGCTGCAATACTATAGGGAGGGCGAAGGCCTTCTATTATTACCAACCAAGTGATCAAAAGTACGTCCAATACTCCAAAATTATTCGGCACCCTGCCGCTATTATCACCAACCAGGTGATCAAAAGTAGATCAAAAGTACGTCCAGTACTCCAAAATTATTTGGCAGCCTGCCACTATTATCACTAACCAGGTGATCAAAAGTACGCCCAGTACTCCAAAATTATACATGAGCATTACTCATGTCAATCATACATAAACATTTTATGAGCATCACTCATTTCAATCATACATAAACATTCATGACCATCATTCATGTCAACATTCATGAGCATCACTCATGTCAACATCCATGAGCATCACTCATGTCAATCAACATAAACATTCATGAGCATCACTCATGTCAATCTAGATTCGAAAGCTTCATTTACAGAGCTCTAGCTTTAATAGCTTCATTTACAGAGCTCTAGCTTCAAAAGCTTCATTTACAAAAGCTCTAGCTTCAAAAGCTTCATTTACAGAGATCTAGCTTCAAAAGCTTCATTTACAAAAGCTTCAGCTTTGAAAGCTTCATTTACAGAGCTCTAGCTTCAAAAGCTTCATTTACAGAGCTCTAGCTTCAAAGCTTTAACTTGCAAAGCTTCACCTACAAAACTTCAATGCATGGTCTACAAAGACCGCCTCCGAACAACTGCCATTTCGGCCCACACATGGATTGAATTTGAAGTCTCCAGCCAATAACCTCTATTGACCGAAGACTTGGGGGACTACATTATGTACCATATATTGGGCCTCAATTGGGCCTCATGAAAAATACTTGAGGGACTTAGCCTATTATTTATGTACTGAGGAGCGAGCCCTTATTCTATAAAAGGGACTCCCTCACTTTCATTAGAGAGCACCCATTATTCATGTATTGAGGAGCGAGCCCTTATTCTATAAAAGGAACTCCCTCACCATCATTAGAGAACATTAACTCTAGCCCATTATTCATGCATTGAGGAGCGAGCCCTTATTCTATAAAAGAGATTCCCTCACCATCATTTGAGAGCATCGCCGCTTGCTGAGCAACCGTCTCGCCACGAGCACCAACTTTAGCCCATCATTTTTGTATTGAGGAGCGAGCCCTTATTCTATAAAAGGGACCCCCTCACCTTCAAACGCCACAAGCCGAGCCAACCAAGGCAACATAAGCCACAAACCGAGCAGCCTCGCAACATATGCTACTTCTAGTTGAGCATCATTTCAAATTGAGTACCGTCTCATATCGAGTATCAGTTCAAGACGACATCTAGTTACTTTGGCCCACACATGGACTGAATTTCAAGTCTCCAGCCAAAAGACTCTCTTGACTGAAGACTTGGGGGACTACTATTGGTACCATACTTAGAGCCTCCGTATTTAGACATCGTATAAATATTCGGGGGACTCAAATGTAATTATGTAATAAATAAAGGGGAAAATATGTAATAAGTGAGGAGCCCTTATTCTATAAAAGGACCCCTCACTCTCCGCATTAAAGGAGGCCAATTCTTAGGCCTGAGACTCCCAAAGCCTCACTCTCATTATAGAGGCTCTCTCTCACCCTTTCATCCTCTTACATCTCAGAGAAATACAATATCAGTGTGGAAGTAGACCAAACATTGGGGTGAACCACGATACATCTTATGTTATTTACTTTCTTGCAGATTCACGGTCGGATTTATGTTGTTTCAAGACCCCTCCAGTTTTGTGCATTAACAGATATAATAAGGGGCGTGGTGATGGCTACGACAATAGTGATGGCATAATGTTGGTGCCCCAATAACAGGGTGTGGTGGTTGGGCTGCAGAGGTAACAATTCAATGACATATGCAGTGGTTGTGGTTGTGGCAGTATATTATGGCGGCGGTGTGACAACTATGTTGGTGATAATGACAGTTGTGGTTGTGTTGGCGGTGTTGCTGGTAGTGGCGGTGATGGTGTTGCTGATAATTGTGGTAGCGATAATGTTTACAACAATGGTGGTGGTAATAACGGTAGTGATGTAAGGTTAATTGATAACACACACTTGGGATATTACTAATGAATAATGACACGTGGTGATATGAGCATATTTATTCGACTAAGTTAGCTTGTTCTTGTGTATTTGTGTTGTTATTTCTTAGTTAATGTAGTATTTCAAGCTATTTTCGTGTGTTTGTAGGTCCAAAGGATTAAAGTAGCAAGAAAGTGCATCTTGGAGCAGTTTTGGGCACTAAATGGATAGCACATGTATGGGCCAAGATGGATGGATGAATTTGGAGTTCAAAAGGCTATGAATCTGATAAGAAGATAAAGCAATTAAATTCAAGACAAAGAAGATAAAGAATTAGCTCAAAAGAGGAAACATTATCCAAAACCTTATCCAACCTAACCTTATCTTATCTTAATCTTATCATGCCTTAATCCTAGCTGCAAGGGAACCTAAATATATATTTCTAGAACCTATTTCTAAAAGCATTCTCTTCTAGAAGTCCCAAATCATCCACAAAATGATCGGATCATATTTATATATATTTTTACTTCAAATTCACTCGTCTTTTCTTAGTTAGTTCCTTATATTTTTGAGCTATTTATGTTATTTTTGTGTTTATAGGATTTGTTATGCAAAGAAAATAAAAATAGAACAAGTGAAATTTTATTCGTGAAAAGAAAATTTAAATTACAATATTGCTAACCCATTGTGACGCTAAATGATAAACCAATATTTAAACTATATATTTCATCATTTTATATTTCTTTTCTTGTCTAATTTATTTGGAAGCTTTAAGTATTTATGATACTTTTGATATATTGTGTTTGTAGGAGTAACATGATCCAAAGAACTTATTTTTCTGCTATGTGGGGCTGCTAGAAACTAAATGAAAAAATAGGAGAGCATCGGGAGGAGAATATAGAGGAAAGCAAGCTGCCTTTGCAGCTGGAGGAAAGCAAGTCAGCGACAAAGGGATCCAAGGAAATCAGAAGAATTAGGGGACAACAACTGGCAAAGCAGAGGAAATGGAGGAGTCCACACTGGGGACGGAAAAAGAATCCAAAAAAGGAACGAGACAGCTAGACGAACAGGGGGGGAGCTGCCTTTGGGCAGCTCGCAGAGACGCAAGGGGGATAGCGGGGAGAAAAAAAGAGCTGCTTGAGAGCAGCGTCAAAGAAAAGAAAAAAATATAAAAAAAAGAAAGAAAGGAAGGAGCGGCGGAAAAGACGTGAGGCAAGCAAGGGAGATAGGCAGAGAGAAGGGGAGAGGCGCAGGAAGAGTGGGGAGAGAAGAGACTGGCAGCGTGCAGGGGACAGAGGACGGGACAGCAGAAAAAACACAGAGGC